TAGTACAAAAACATTACCAGAGTTACTTTTCCTGGAATACATCATTAATACATGTTTGGAGTTCCAAGAAAATGGATTTGCGTAAACACTGTTCAACGATCGCAAATCAATCTTAGTTTCACGGACTTTTGTCATTCGTTAGGTATTAAACATGTTCTATGTGCAACCGCTACACCTAGAGCTAATGGGCAAGTGGAGTCCTTAAGACAGAATGAAACTTCATGTTATGACAGTTACTGATGATGACATTAAGTGACGACACGACAACCCAGTAGACGAATAAAGGCCGAAACCCACTAGCAACACGCCACGTCATGCTTCGCCACGCCACACCATGTAACGAAAATGTATGCGTATATTCTTCCATTTATTTATATGTGCCGCGTACACACTTGCCATACGCGATACCACGCCATGGCACGACACGCCATCCGTCCATTTGCACACAAACTGTCCCACGTGAACCTGTGTCACATGGCGTGGGGTGGCGTGGCGTGTTGCTAGTGGGTTTCGGCCTTAATGTGTTTCGTCTCTGGCTTCACTTCTAGTGTATTATAAGTAATTTTGTTTTGTGTTTTTGTTTAGTTAAGTTCAACTTCACGGGGTCGTAAACTGTTATCAGGTCGGCCAACTGTAACCGAACTGCAACCACCAATATAAAGATGCAGCTCGGGTTCCCAGATACTGTGTAATCTATGCGCTAGCACGTTTCACAAACAGGGATGTTTTGAAGAACAAGGGACAGCGGACCCTTTCTTGCTGGGCACAGATAGTTGCGTTACGCGAAGCAGGTTAAGTTTGAGCAGCATATTGTGGCACTCTCTGGTAGGTTATTATTTAGCTGTTATGCTTCGAAAGTGCTCTCAGAGCTGCTCATAGAACTGTGATTTTTCTCACATTACTTATAGACCGGTGCATAACGACCATTTTTTTAAACGATTTTCTCCCGTCTGCCATTAAGGGTGGTTATTCTTTATGCAAGAAGAAGTGGAATGGCTGAAATTTCAAAGAGCCCCGCGTGTGACAATACAATGATATGCTAATTTGAAAATGTAATGAAAAGTGGAGATGTGGATCAATATTATCCCGTCTGTCACACATTGTAAAGGTAATTTTAACAAAAATGAGTACAAAGAAGCTAAACGGCGGAAACCCTAGGTTAGTATAATGTTTCATATTACTAATTTTAGAATGTCGCCAAAATCGGACATGTGGATCAACGACCTCCCGTCTGCCAAATTAAATTTATGTTACATTTACGATGTAATACATCAATAAGTAAATGGCAGAAAATCTCGGTTGGTATAATAATATTTAACATTTTTTGAAGTTGTAACAAAATGCTGAGATGTTGAAACAATTTTCTTCTGCCTAAAATATGTTTTGTTGCAATGGATTTTAGATAAATAATGTACCTTTGCACCGGCAGAAAAATTGATGTGGTACAAATATTTATTTTTAATTTTTCAAAATGTCAAAATTTTTCAAACTTGAGATCATATATTTCCCGTCTGCCATTAATTTATATTAAATAAGCTGCTACCAAAAGCCTAAGTTTTGACTGGCAGAAATTGCAGGCTGGTACAAGTCCTAATAAACAATGAACAAAATTGCGACAAAAATTGTTCATATGATGAACTTTTTTAACCCGTCTGCCATTTGGTTACGTGAAATGTAGTTATGAGAATATGCATATTTTCAATATGGCAGAAACCGCAATAAGTTACATAAGTTGGACATATGTTTGTTAAATTGCAATTTTCTCCCGTCTGCCAACTTAATTAAGTAAAGTTTCTATCGAAACAACTGAATACCTATCAAAAGGCAAAATGACTGCTTATGTACAAATGTTTGAAATCTCACATACGTTATAATTTTTTTTCAATGCCTATCACACATTAAGGGGATGTTGCACCAACACAATTCCATGTTTAACGCAATACCTGATTTTTCAGATCAATTTGTTGTGACAAACTGATGTCAAAAACCCAGTTTTGCGTTTAGACTTGGATTTTGTGTCGATGCAACCCAGTGTTGTCAAATCTACCGAAATTTCGGTATTTCTACCAAAATGGCAACGGACCTACCAAAATACCGAATACTGATGAATTTCTACCGATTTTCGACAATAAATACGATTCTACCGATTTCATTTCATTCAAAAAATCAATTTTATCGGTTTTGTTTTCGCCGATTTTTTCATCGGAGAATACCTGTGGGTCCTGTGATATCCGAATTTGTTTTTAATATCTTGTTATTGCCCTATTTTTCCGCCGGTGCTGAGCGCACATTCTCAGCAATAAATCAAATGAAAACAGTACAAAGAGATAGACTTTCCACGGAAACAATCACTGAACTTTTTCATACTCAACGAAATAGAAAGCTTAAAGGAAAGCACGGCTGGATTTTAGTTTTTATGTTATACTCACTGGTTATACCCAAGGATAATACACACTACAACTACAGGATAGCATATCCTCATAAGACCTGTGTAGAACAAATCTAAAGCCCCCCACTACGCCAAATCACCAGTTGTGACGTAGGCAGCACGTCGTTTCTCGCCTTGACATAGGCACTGTTTGCATCACAGGTTATGATTCTGCGGTCTTTTACCTTATGCATACCATACTTGGTCTTACTACATTATTAACAATAAGAACTCCTGTTCAGATCTCATTTGCATCTTCCTCTTTGCCTATTATGTTAATCAAAATTAAATAATATTTTTAATCATAAATTTAAATTCTAAACTAGGAGGACCGCTGGCGCAAACAGCTGACGATTTAGTTAATGACGTCTGTAATGGTGATACACCAATATGGCCGCGATTACCGAAATCGATGCCGATAAGCAATCCTTAGTAGTGTGTATTATCCTTGTGTTATACCTACCGATTTTGCGCTGTAATCTATCGATTCTCAACGTTAGTTTCTCCCGATTTAGTATTTTGACGTTCGACAACACTGTGCAACACATTTACTGAGCCTCATTTAATTGCATGAGTATCAAAAACTGCCGACTGCTCTTCGCCGAGTCGACCGGTCCGAGTCGATTCAGTGCGCGTCCTGCTTTATACTGTGCCGGATTAGTAGAGATATCGATTTCTTTGTTTAATTCGCATTTATAGACAAGGAAAGAAAATTGTCAATACTAGTCGAGTCAAAAGTAGGGCTGTACCAAAGTCGATATACAAAGCGATTTTGATATACAGAGTGACACAAGGAATAGGGAACAGTCTATAACTTTTTCAATATATAAGTTGAAAATTTGGTTTAACCGGAAGTGACTGGTAACGCAATTTACTTCTAAAAAACTCAAAAAGTTGTCTCGATTAAGCTCCCCAAATTTCAAATTTTCAACTTATATATTCCTTGTGTCACTCTGTATATATGTCTACTTTTTTGTCCGATGTGTTAAAAAAGAAAAAAAAAATGAATCGTTTGGAACATGGAAATTTGACAATCAGTGATTTTTGATTGTGCAAAAATATGGCACAAAATTCAAATAATCTGCTTTTTTTTCATCCAATTTCTGGCTTCAAGATTTTTTTAAAAATTAACCAGTCATACTTTTATGTAGTACCTACATAAAATACACTTTCGTTACAGATAAATTATATACCTAATTTTAATTGAGTGCAAAAGGTCCATTGTTTGGACACATAAATATTTTTAGCAATTTAACAATAATTGTGCAACGTTTGTAGCTCATTGAGGTTTCTGCCATATTGAGATTATGCATATTCCCATAACTACTTTTTACTGAAACAAACGGCAGACGGGTTAAAAAAGTTCATGATATGAACAATTTTTGTTCCAATTTTGTTCATAAATTATGAGAACTTGTATCAGCCTGCAATTTCTGCCAGTCGGAACTTAGGCTTTCAGTAGTAGCTAATTTAATATAAATTATTGGCAGACGGGAAAAAATTGATCTCAACTTTGAAAAATTTTGACATTTTTATTGTTTCTCCCAATTGTTAATATGCCTTGGATACATCTGCCAATATATTTCTTGAATTTTACTTTGCATGTCAAACTTATCTTCCAAATGGCAGATGGGAGAAAATTGTTTCAACATCTCAGCATTTTGATACAACTTCAAAAATTGTTAAATATTATTATACCAACCGAGATTTTCTGCCATTTACTTATTGATGTATCGTAAATGTAACATACATTTAATTTGGCAGACGGGAGGTCGTTGATCGACATGTCCGATTTTGGTGACATTTTGAATTTAGTAATATGACACTTTATACTAACCCAGGGTTTCCGCCATTTAGCATCCTTTTACTCATTTTTGTTAAAATTACCTTCACAATGTGTGGCAGACGGGATAATATTGATCCACATCTCCACTTTTCATTACATTTTCAAATTAGCATATCATTGTATTGTCACACGCGGGGCTCTTTGAAATTTCAGCCATTCCACTTCTTACTGCATAAAGAATAACCACCCTAAATGGCAGACGGGAGAAAATCGTTTTGAAAAAATGGTCGTTATGTACCGGTCTATTAGGAAATTGCATTTTTCGGCTGTTGCACTACTTCTTATTTCAACTGCATATAAGGCACTATTCCACTAGACTAGGCAAGCCAATAATATTCCACTGTCAATTCCCAGAAGCACCTGGGTGAAGAAATCTTTTGTTTATTTTTCCAAGAAAGCCTTTAATCTTCTACCAAATAGCATTAGGTTTTCACGTTCATACGGGGAGGTTTAGAAAGGGGGTAAGGGAGTTACTCTTGGTTAACGTTCACTATAATATTGAAGAATTCTTTGGGGACACCTTGTGAACATATTTTCAAGTAGGTTAAATTTTATATTATTCTTATAGATATAAAGTTTAATCATTTTATCATGCTTTGTCAATGAAAAGTTTATAATGGACAATAAAGTACTTTGGATTTGATTTGATTATGATCAACAATATCAGACGCTTTCTCTAGGTTGTAGTATTATCGAATTTACTCAACTCAATTTGCACCTACTTACCAAATACATTGTCTTGATTTGATTTCTTGTCACAACATTGAAATCTTGTTAAGACAATTGCTGCAGGAACATTGAGCAGCGTAACTCCACCGAGAACGAGAACGGAAACCCTTTAAAATAAAATAAAAAAGTTCCCGTTAGCTGTTAAAGTATTTCAACAAAAAACATTTAACTTCACTTTGGCGTGAATTCCAAACTGAATTTCAAATATTTTAAAACAATCTAAGCTGGAACGTATACTTTATGAACTCACAATCAAATAAAAATACGTACAATTTGAATAGGTTTTTTTTTTTTAAACTTTCAATTTCTATATAGACTTTAATTTTTTGAAATCGTACCTGAAACCATAATTGTCCATAATAAATTTAGCACATTGAGGCATCAAAATGCAACAAGCCACCATTAAAGCTTGTGAAGCGCCCATCATAAACGATAACTTTTTGTCGAATACGTTATTTAAAGCTGTCAGAGAGGCTGGGAAAAGGAGACCATAACCCATACCTGAAATAATTAATGAAGAAAAATATAGAATTTGAAATGATGATAATTGCTACAATATAGTGTCATTATAAGATTTAAATTGCACAATATGTAATAATAATAAAACAAGGGTCTATTCTTCAAAAGTACTTATTTTTTCTTACCTTGAATAACCGAATACAAAAATATAAACGAAATCAGATCATTGACGAATACTACACTGAAGCTTCCAATTACACAAATTATAGCGCCAATGGTTCCTACTGTACGACATGACCATGTATTTAGTAGAATATTAGTTGCTAGTCCTAAAAAACCAAAATAAATAATTGTATAAAATAAATATGATAGAGATTTTACCAGTAAAACACATAATTGTATTAAACATTCCATTCGCTATGGATGTTCCGGTGGTTTCATCGCCAATCGTCGACAACCATTTTCCATATATTATACCAAAGACGCCTAATGGCAGTGCACATGTTATCTGATAAAAATAAGTTTGTAAAAATGTGTCATTTTAGGATAAAATAATATACTCACTGCAATAATTGTCACAGCAACAAAAACCACATATCCGTACCATGCCTCATCGGAAGGAAATCCTTTACGAACTATATCACTATCCTGAGTATTTTTTTTCATGGACATACTTTGTCAATATTTTTCACAATATCAATAAAATTTATTTCTTAAATCACATCATAATAAACAAAAATACCCGTTTAAATTCTAATTGTACGACCAAATTGCCTTTATATATAATTATTTAACTTATCTTGAAATCAAATATACACAATGGATTTATCATGAGGATCAGATTGTCAAAAAAATAACGAAATGTTCCATTTGAAAGACAATAATTGTTGCAAAAGATAACAAAATCAAATCACCAACGATAATTTTTTTTTAATAACCCTTAATCAAATAAGACAATGTCTGAGGATCAATCTTAAGGTGAAAAGTCATTATTAGGTATTGGAATCGACAATACTTGTCTCAAACCCTTTGAAGGTTAGGTGAACCTTCAGATCAAAAACACAAATAGGTCTGATGACATTCAGAATATTGCTGAAAGAAACTGGACGAGGACAGCAGCTACCTATATAGATATAGGCAGAAATGTAAGGTCAAAGTACATGTACGAATGAAGCATTTTGTATGTTAATTAAAGACGTATAATAATTAGATACCATTTTTGCTAAATAACTATTAAAATAAGTCTCCCCCCTGCCAAGTATAGGTATATTTACTTTAGATTTTATTTTAGGCTGAACGATTTATGATGCTATATGCTATGTATGAATTTATTTAACGAAAAATACCAAATAGTCTTTGTGTCATAATCTCACAGACGTTTTGTAGATATGACGTTACAGTAGGTAGGTATGGAAAATTCATTTTATTATTTGGAGGCTGCGTTTTGTTAGGATTTAATCCACTTGCGAGTTGCATTCGCATTACTTAGATTTTTTGGGTTCTTATTTGTTTTATTTTAAATGCCTCGATTTTTGAAATAAGTTGGAATGATAGAAGGTTTTCTACTATCCTGAAAAATTCATCAAATTTGTCTGACTTAATGCGAATACTTAATCCATTGGTCAAAAAGTTAATTAGTTGATGTGACTGAAATTTCTTACTGAAATAGTCCAGAAAATACTTATACCTTTTTTGAAATTTTATCGTTTGGGAATGTTGTATTTACAGCATAGTAGGTAGTAGGTATATAAGACAAAGTTCTAGGTGGTTTACGCTTGGTACATTAACCTCATCTTTACTGAGATTATTTCACTGATAAACAATTCAACTGCTTAGGAAATTTTTTCTGACTAGTTTCTTTTTTGAATGGCCATTCAGTTTGTAAAGACCTGGAAAAATAAGGTATTCAATTACCTACTGCTAAAAATTACAAAAAAATTATCAAGGGAATAGCAAATATTTGGAAATAAAAGTAACTTTAGGTGCAAGTAAATAAGATGCAGATTATAAAATATTATTTAAAGCTTTTATTGTAAAACAGACGTACCCTAAAGGTTTTTGAAAAAGCACCAGCTAGATTTTGTAATTGATATTCCATAAAAGGTGCCAAAAAAAGATTTCCTACTCTCAAATAATAAGTACACTTGTGACATCACGAGATTCCTGAACTTGAAGATAAACCCATAAATTAGGCACCAGAGACACATTAAAAGCACAAAGATTATTAAGGAACCCACTAGTGTCACGGAGAATTCACAAACTTTGATTGACATGATTATGACTTCACTTAGCGATATAGTGAATAAAGTTCATGTGATACCGATGGAGGACATTTCAGATCACTCACTGGTTTCTTGCTCAATTAAAATTAAAAAGGAGAAAGTTGAGCCTTTTTTGTACACATTTCGTGATTTTTCAAATTTTGATAATGATTTGTTTTTGGAACACCTTCGGGGTCAGAACTGGAATGAAGTGTTCACTTTTGTAAATGTTAACGATATGGCCGACCTTTGGAGTTCTAACATTGAAAATATTTTTAGCATTTTTGCACCTTTTAAAACGGTTCGAATTTCAAAAAGGCCGGCACCCGGGTGGTTGACCGAGAATCTTAGGCTAATGATGCGCCTACGGGATAAAGCGTTACAAAGTTATAAACACAAAAAATCTGCGGAGGCCTGGAGTTACTATAAGGAATTGAGAAATACTGTTAATTATTCTATTAAAATGGAAAAAAAGGGATATTTGCGATTTAAATTTCAAAGCAACCCTAAAGAATTTTGGAAAACACTTAAATTTTTAAATATTAGATACTAATGCGCGTGCGTTGTCCTCTTTTAATTGTGAACCCGAGACTTTTAACAATTTCTTCCTAAATAGCTCTCCGAATGTCACTCAGATTGATCCTAATGTCAAGCTCCATATTCTGGAGCGCTATAGAAATGAACGCAATATTCCCGAAAATGGAGAATTTGTCTTTAAAACGGTTACGTCTGATGATGTTTTAAGGATTGTGGCTTCATTAAAGAGTAATGCGATGGGTGCCGAGAACCTGAATCTAAAAATGCTCTCCTGTCTTCTCCCTCAGGTTGCCGACTGCCTAACCCATATCGTCAATACCTGTCTTCTTACTGGCGTTTTTCCTGACGCTTGGAAACATGCTAATGTTATACCAGTGCATAAAAATAGCAACCCCATTGATATATCTCACTTCAGACCAATAAGTATCTTACTAACGGTGTCAAAAGTATTGGAAAAGATTGTTGCACAACAAGTAAATGATTTTATTTCACGCGGAAGGATCTTGCCAGTTACCCAATCTGGATTTATATCACAGCGTAGTACCTGTACGGCTCTTCTAAAGGTTACGGACGACATTTTTACTGCCAATGACAGGGGATTGAATACCTGTTTGATATTGCTCGATTTTAGTAAGGCTTTTGATACCTTGGACCATCAGTTACTCTGTGAAAAACTATTTTATCTCGGTATGTCAAGAGCAGCAGTCAACATTTTTATTAGCTACCTTAACAATCTACAGCAAAGGGTTCTTTTTAATGGTGAAGTATCAGGGGCTGCATCTGTGAACAGGGGAAGTATCTTGGGTCCACTTTTATACGTCATTTACACTTCTGATTTTAACTCATATCTAAAATATTGTAATCTTCACATGTATGCTGACGATTCCCAAATATACTTATCATTTTCCCTGGATGACTCGAATTCAGCTGCTGAAAAAATAAATGAGGACCTAAAAATTATTTCTACTGTCTCTCGGGCTCATTCTCTGAACCTGAATGAATCAAAAACTGATGTTTTGCTATTTGGTAAAAACAGTAATTTCCTTGCAACTAATAATAGGTTCTCCCTAGTCTTAAATGATTCAGATCTTGTTTTTACTAGCAAATGTCGCAATTTGGGATTTTACCTTGACACAAACTTAAGATTTTTAACCCATGTAAATCATTTATTAAAAACATCTTACTTTAAACTAAGGCAGCTCTATAGACACAAAGACATTTTAGATACTCAAATCAAACTCAAATTGTGTGATTCTTTAATTTTATCTTCTGTTTCATATTGTGATGTTGTTTACTGGCCTGCGCTGTGCCAATTTGATCAACATTCGTTACAAAAATTACAAAATGCTTGTGTACGATTTTCTTATAACTTACGTAAATATGACCATATCTCCGATTCTTTCAGAGAATCTCATTGGCTTAATTTGGATGAACGGTTTCAGGTGCATATGGCATGTCTCGTTTACAAAGTCAATCAATCTCAGGCTCCACAGTATCTGGTTGAAAAATTAACAAAAAGGAATGAAACGCATAGCCATGATACAAGATCTGGTCCGTTGTACAGAGTTCCCAGGCATCGGTCAGCTTTATTCAAGCGTTCATTTTCCTATAATGCAGTGCAAATATATAATAGAATCCCTTAATTCCCTTATAATGTCAAAGACTCTCCCAGTGTTCTTTGTTTTAAAGAAAAATTAAAGAGCCATGTGCTGTCGCAGCGGGTATGATTGTGTGTGATTGGGTAGGCTTATATAACATATTGCATCCTTAGAATGTACTGCAAATGTTCTTTTTTTTAGGAGGAATCTGCCTAGAGTGTTCGCCAAAACCATTGCGAATGTCCTGAGAATGTTCTGAGAAAAGATTGTAGAAATACTGTTTGCAATACCCAAGAACTTCCTGGGAAATCCATGAGGATATTCCTAGAATATACCTAGGCAGTGGTGGACCTAGGACCTTTGGGGCCCTGTCATGCATTTTTTTGGGTATTTTTCTTGCGGTGTTGAGGACATTAGAGAGATATCGGTGAACCAGATAGCGCGTATTGACGGTATTAACGTCAGGAGTTATTTTTTTAACGTAAAGCGGTATCACACTTTTTAATTACAGTTATCGGAAAACAATTTTAAGTAAAATTTCGCATCCGTTATTTTATAACCATGTCCATAACCTAACTTGTACCTACATTGTTGTGATTTTTGAATTTTGTGGTATCTGTTGTTTACAATCAGGGTCGAAGGATTTGATTTCAATGTTTTTTTTATTATTTTTTTGAACAATTAGTTTAATTAAAATTCATTTTCAATTGTACTGAATAAATCGCGGACTAAAAACTGGAACACATAAGTACCCATTGGGATCATTCTCAACTCTCGAGGTAAGTGATAATTAAATATAGTAGGTAGGTTGAAGGTAAAGTTTAATGCTTTTTTTTTTCTAGTTATTATTAAATTGCTGCTTAAATTCTTCCTCTGTTTTGTGGCATAATGGAAGAGGATCTAGAGGCTGTAATTATTGCTGGTGGGAATGATCAGGATATTGAAGCTGCAATCTTGATCAATATTTTACGGGAACAAGGTGATCAAGTCCCACCACAGCAGTTCCATTTGGAAGATGTGGACAATAATGACTGCAAGCTTTTCTTTCGTTTTGAAAAAAATGACATATATAGGTTATGCCGAGCTTTACGAATGCCAGAATTTGTAAGAACATATAACCAGAATAAGGTCACAGGTGAGCTTCAACTGCGGTAATAGCTTTAAACAGGTTCATATGATGGTCCTAGTTCATATATGGTGGGGCAACAAAAACTTCCCACTCAGGTGATTATGTATTATTATTATGTATTACCTAACACCTGAGAGAACCTATAGGGACAAGCCCCACAATATACCTATTATATCTACACATTAAAACAATGCATTTTTTACTACAAGGTCTCACGGATCTCTGTTTGCTTTTGAGAAGATTGGCATATCCAAACAGGTTACGTGATTTGCATGCGTTCTTTGGATATTCCCCTCAAGCTATGTCCATAGTAATAAACAGGGTAACGGACATACTGATCCAAAATCATGGACACTTATTATCCGATCTGGAACAACTGCCATGGTTAAATCAGCAAAGGTTTGAGCTATATGCCCAAGTAAGCAATATATCTAAACATCAACTTATATTATGCTTTTTATGCATCATTTTCTTGCAGGTCATTCGTAATAAAGGAGCACCTATGAACAACTGTTGGGGTTTTATTGACGGTACAGCTAGGGCTATCTGTAGGCCAACTATTGAACAGGAGAATTATTATTCAGGGCATAAAACATATTATTGTATGAAATATCAATCGGTATTGTGCCCTGATGGAATAATTGCCAGTTTAAAGGGTGGTTGGCCTGGGAGGAGACATGATGCTGCTATGTTTGCAGAATCAAATCTGTACAACGAACTAGAAAGGGTGGCAGTTTTTTCAAATGGAAATAAATTTATACTCTATGGTGACCAAGCCTACGGAATAAGAGAATTGCTTTGGGCTCCATATGCTAATAGAATAAACATGGAACCTCATCAACAGCAATTCAACAATTTAATGAAAAGGCTTAATTTAACAGTTGAGTGGGGGTTTCAGGAAACCATAGCAGAATTTGCTTTTTTAGATTTAAAAAAAAAATCCAAAACTTCTGCTTCAAGATGTAGAGGCAATGTACAAAGTAGGAGTTTTATTAGCTAATTGCCACACCACATTATATGGTAGCCAAACCTCCCAATATTTCAATAATATGCCAATGGGACTAGAGGAATATATTAGATAAATGCATGTGTTAAGAATATTAGGCACCTCAACAGGCACTTATTTGAACATACACAATTACCTAATTTAATAGTTATTTACATTACAAGAGAGTTTATGAATATGATTACAAGGTTGTGTCCTTTCACTTCGCCTGTGGACACTAGTGATAGATAGCATCCTTACCAGACTAAGAAATGTCGGACTAACTGTCCTAGGCTACACTGATGATCTGGCGGTAATAATCAGAGGTAAGCATGAAAGCATAATAACAGGCCGAATGCAAAGTGCCTTGAATATAATCAAAAACTGGAGTGAGGAAGAAAGACTTTCCATAAATCCCAGCAAAACAACCTTGGTTTGATTTACAGAAAGAAGAAAGCTGGATCTGCCAGCCCTCACTCTAAACGGCACTCAATTATCTTTCTCGGATGAAGTTGAGTATCAAGTGGTCACCCTGGACTGCAAACTTACTTGGAAAAACCACCTGAACAGAACAATATCAGCGACTGGAAGAAGCTGTAACAACTCCAAATGCAATCTACAGTGAACATAATTATAATGATGAGTGTGAAAGATTAGAACGACAATAAATTAGGCCACTGATTGTAACCCTCACAAAAAATTCTGAATTGATTATGAAGTATTATGCAGTACCATTTGGAATGTTTTACTTAAGGGATTTGACTAGGTTGTGAAATAAAAACCTATATTTTCAACATTTTTTTTTTTAAATTTAATCACCAAAAATTAACTCCACTAAATTCTAAATAGGAACTTTAAATTACAGTCAGGTAAGTATATGTATGTACAGGTCGTTTCAAATTCGAAATACAGCATTTGCGAATTCGGAAACGGTGAAAAATACAGGGTGGCCTTAATTGGGACAAAGTTGTGAAATTTTGTACACAATAAAATGCCTTCCCAAATGTGTAAAAAAATTCTAGCTTTGAAAAGGTACCTATATTTTGGAAAATATCTACAGCCATATGCAACATCCTCTTTTAACTTAAATGCGTTTTTTGAAACTGGGTCACTTTTGAAAATTTGTATTCTAAACAATACAAATTTTTGAAGGTACCAGTTTTAAAAAGTGCTTTTAAGTTGTGCTTACATTTGGCAATCTTTATTCCGACATGGCATTTCATTGGTGATAAAATCAGTAACTTTGTCAAATTTAAACCACCCAGTATATCTTACCTTTTTCATAATCCCAACTGCTGAAACTCGAATTTGAAACACCCTGTACCTAGTGTACATTGAAAAAAATAAGTAACCTAAATAAATAAATCAAAATAGGTAAAATCTGTTTTTTTTTAAAGATAAAAGTCAAAATGACATTATGTTGGCAATACAATGTAAAATTGTCAATGCTTTCAAAGTTTTTATGTAGAAAAGGCTTGTATTGCCAACACAGTTACTAAATTTTTGACTTGGGGAATTATCTTTAAAAAAAAAACAGACTTTAGGTGGAAGAAAACAAACCAAAACAAAAATAGATATTACACCTTACCAAGGACCCACATAACAAAATTGCATCCTTAGAATGTATTAAGAATGTTCTTTTTTCAGGAGGAATGTGCCTAGAATATTCGCCAAAACCATTGCGATTGTCCTGAGAATGTTCTGAGAAAAGATTGTAGAAATACTGTTTGCAATACCCAAGAACTTCCTGAGAAATCCATTAGGATATTCCTAGAATATACCTATGAGATTCTCAGTACATCCTGAAAAGAATATTCTTGTTTGATTCTAAAAATATGCTCGATATGTATAGGTATTCTCACATTCAAAGAATGTTTCTATGACATTATAGTTATGTTCTCAAAAGAATATTATAGATACCAATATGCTTGAAATATTCTTAGAATATATCTACATATATCATTCTCAATATGCATCCTAGACATAACATTCTTGGTTGATTCTAAGGATATACTTGGAATGTTAATTTTCGTTTCCAAATAATGCTCCTTTCAGCCCTTTTATATTAAAGGCAGTGAAAGAGTTGTTGGCAAACTTCTCTGGAAAACACAAGTATTTAACCAAAGCTCCGGTTTCGAGCTTGTTATGCTCTCGTCGAAGCACGCTAACTGAGAGAAACAGGTTCCAAGGTGATTCAAACGCGAGGTAAGATGTAGATCTTTAATAGCACGTGGCTCCCTCTCTTGGAAGTCCTACAAAGGAAAAGGAAAAGAATATACCTATAATATTCTTAGTAGGCTCTAGATAGAGCATTATTGTTTAATTGTTAAATTATGATTTTTGAGTAGGTACTTCAGATAATTAGGTGAATAATATGAAAATATTCTTATCATGGTAACCTACCTACATACACTTCTCAGCACAACTTGGTAGGTATATTCTTAATACTTGATAGAGATATTAGCCGAAAGAAAATTTTTTAGGGTACATTATAATAATGTTCTTATGACAATATTCAAAGTTTGTTATATAAAGTAGGTTCTTAGCACAATCTTTCAGGTAGGTGCATAGAAGCAACATTTCTAGTACATAAATAGAACGTTCAAAAATGAATATTTCAATCGAAACAATCTTAGAATATTCATTAAACATTCCTAAAAGAACATGCCAAAAAGCACTTTGAGGGAATATTCTGAGAATATGAATGTTCTTTCATTGTTATGTGGGGAAGTACAAAATATCATAATAGATATACAGAGAGATATACCTACCTATATCGTAACTTAACAAAATATAAGAAAAAACAAATAACATGAAAAATAATTACATCGAACAAATGGGAAAAAAAATTAAAATTATTTTATTTTTCTTCATACTTCTTCAATCTTTCCATCAGTGACTGAATAAGTTGATGTTGCTGTTCAATTATTTTGGATTTTTGGTCTCTTTCAAACATTTCTTGTGTAAATCGAGTTTTCTCCATTTCCAATTTCTCTTTTCTTTCTATATAATCCATTTCGTGCCGTTGTTCATCTAAGACTAGCCTTCTGTTTTCCAACTCGATTCTTTTTCCCTCCAAATTCAACTGTCTATTTTTTAAAATTTCCTCCCTTGATTCTTTATTATCCAAATACTCTAGAGCATTTCTCCATAACGGAGCAGTTCTATTAGTTCTGTTTTTTCTAGGGGCTTCAACAGGTATTTTTATTACAATAATATTTTAGAGTATTACTTTTATCTACCTACCTAAAATTTTTCTCGGAGCACCTTTTTCTGGGTTAATTTTTGGAGTTTCAGCTTCTAAAGCCAATATAGTGGGTTTGGAAGGCGGCAGAGTTTCAGGTTCATTGGATCTATGCTCATTATTAGTTGATATTTGAATTTCATGGCTCGTTTCGTGGTCAGTTAGGTCGATTATTGAACAAAGTTCTGAAAAAGAACACATTACCTATATAAGATTTCATTTTGGATCATTCAACTTCTATTTTGTAAACTCAAGAAATTTTATATAGATTTGTCATTAGATTAGAATGATTAGATTTATTTAAGAATACGAATAAGTGAAATAATTATTTTATGTTTTATACTTTTACACACGATAATCATGGTCTAAGGCTATTGGAGAAAAAGATGGAGCTTAAGCTGGGGCCGCTGGGGGCAAGTTTTCAATATCAATGTTGTCCAAGATTAGTGTTCTGGAACACTCATCTCTTGACTGTTTCCCTAATTCAGCAATTTGTTTTTCCTTGCTCAATTTCCTTTTTTTAGTGAGTGGCTTTACTTTGGCGTTATTACACATATCACTTACTTCTTGTAAGAGTTGGTCTCTCTCAGAATGTACTTCTTCTACTTCAGACCTGGACATAAATTTATTTGAAAATTCATATTATTAAAATTAATTTTTTCAAACCTACAATATTTGAGTGGTTTTATCAACCAAATATCTAAAATAAGAAACAAGTGGTCCTTCAAAGTTCTAATAGAAAACATTTTTCCTGTAATTATGGATATATTTTTTTGGATTTCTTCCCATTTTTCTACTTCTTCTAATGGGTTCAAACCAACAAATTCTCTTAAAAGTGCCAGATCTTCATCTGCTGTAAACCTGAGCCTCTTTATAGCTTCCTTACTGGTGGAAGCAATAGTATTTTGGGTCATATTCATATTTTCAGTCATCCAAAAACATCACTTGCACGAAATCACAACAAAAATAAATATTGTTGATAAACAAACATGATAACATAACCTCTAATATTCAACCAGCTGGCCCGTTGTCAAAAATCTGCGCATGCCTATTTGAGCAATTTTTAAGCGTTATTCGAAATAACGCTTTACGTAAATGCTGGGTAAATTACGTTATGCGGTAACGTTATTTCAGTACGTAGTGTTAAAAATCGAATCGCGCATAGGTTTAATGTCAAAATAACGTAGGCGCTAATACCGCATGACGCTTTTTGGGTTACCGATATCTCTCTATTAGCTGACGTCACACACATAACCTCACTTTCGATGGAAAGACAAACAAAGCGTTTGATTGTCTCATAGCCGTTTCCTTCAACTACAATAAGTATTCCTCAAACTGATATTTCTTCATGGAAAACTGTAATTTTAGGGAATACTTATCATTAAGGCTTCTCTAAAAATATGTAGTTGGTGGAAACGGCCGTCAATGACATGTTTGGCCCTTGCATATCCCCCTATCGAAAGTGACGTTATGTGATTTGTGACATAAAAGCTATCGCCTTACCGATGTGCGTAAATAGTCCTTGAATGCTTTGTTTGCTCCCTCTCGAAGGTGAGGTTATGTGTGTTACGTCAGCTAGTGCCGGATTGAAAAACAAGATCATTAAATGACAACATATGTATATGAGACAGAATATGAGAACAACTTAAACGAAAAATATAATTATTTGTAAAAATTCAGGAAATTTCTATCTGAACAAAAAGAAATACAAGCCGTAGTATAGGTAGTCTCCAAATATGTACAAAAAAAAAATCAAAAAAGTAAAATATTATACGTCCCGCACATCCGCGGTTGCCGCATCGCGTCGAGCACAGCCCCTAGAGGTAGATATACAACGTTGCCGTAAGTTTCAAAATTTAATTTTCGATATTCTTTTATTATATACTTATATGAGTTTATTTTTTTTGTTCATTTTTATTGATGCCTTTAGAATCCGGTTGTGTGGGGGCCCCTCAGCTCTGGGGGCCCGACGCAGAGTGTCTCCTTTGCTTCATGTTAGATCCGCCACCTATGAGATTCTCAGTACATCCTGGAAAGAATATTCCTGTTTGATTCTAGAAATATGCTTGAAATGTAAATTCTCACATTCAAAGAATGTTTCTATGACATTATAGTTATGTTCTCAAAAGAATATTGTCACGAAACGTCTTAACTTCGCTATGTAGCTCGACTATTCACCCTCAAAAGCAGAACGGGAAGGGAGGAGTGACAGGGAAACACCAGAACAGTTTTAGATAGCTAATATATATTGTGATTTTACAAGACGGAGATTACGAAAGCATGAATATTTAATTGTTACCAAATCATCATCGTCTTGGACCAGATAACGTCCCTTCGGGTGGTAAGGCTTAAAAGGGCGGACAGTCAACACGTCGGGTATACCCCTGCAATGCTAATAAACAACCAAACCAGCACTACAGGAAAATCTAGAAAGCCTTTTCACTGTAGGTCAAAGCCTGGGTCGTCAGAGAATATCTGCCCTGATAGAGATACGATAACGTATTAACTTTATCAGTCCAGATAGTTCCCCAACTTTGAGTCGTCTCTAAACACCTACTGATTGCAGCGAAGCGCTGAGACACGACTGATTTGCCATAGTGTGGCTAGTGACTTTTATATCCCATTTTTGCTGACTATAATTGGGTTAATTAGTCTGGTTGTGTTTTCTTGCTTAGTTGCAGTTATTTGTTATAACCCGTGGTTCAGTGTATTGAATTTGGTTATAGCCCGTGGTCCCATGTAGGGTTGACAATATTATAACAATATGCTTGAAATATTCTTAGAATATATCTACATATATCATTCTCAATATACCTCCTAGACATACCATTCTTGTTTGATTCTAGGGATATACTTGGAATGTTAATTTTCACATCCAAATACTGCTAATGCTCCTTTCAGTCCTTTTATATTAAAGGCAGTGAAAGAGTTATTGGAAATTTTCCCTAGAAAACACAAGTGTTTAACCAAAGCTCTGGTTTCGAGCTTGTTATACTCTCATTGCGGTATGTACGCCAACTGAGAGAAACAGGTTCCAAGGTGATTCAAACGCTAGACAAGATGTAGATCTTTAATAGCGCGTGGCTCCCTCTCTTCGGAGTCCCACAAAGCAAAAGAAAAAGAATATACCTATAAAATTTCAAGTTCTAGATAGAGCATTATTGTTTAATTGTTTAACTAAGATTTTTAAGTAGGTACTTTAGATAATTAGGTGAACAATATGAAAATATTCTTATCATGGGTACCTACCTACATAAACTTCTCAGCACAACTTGGTAGGTATATTCTTAATACTTGAAAGAGATATTAGCCGAAAGAAATTTTTTTAGGGTAGGTACATTATAATAATGTTCATATGACAAATATTCAAATAATGTTATATAAAGTAGGTTCATAGCACAATCTTTCAGGTAGGTGCATAGAAGCAACATTTCTAGTACATAAATGAAACGTCCAAAAATGAATATTTCAATCGAAACAATCTTAGAATATTCATTAAACATTCCTAAAAGAAGATTCCAAAAAGTACTTCGACGAAATATTCTGAGCATATGAATGTTCTTTCACTGTTATGTGGGTGGTAGTCGCCATTTTGTGATTGGACGCCATCTTGTTCCTATGAGTCCGCATAGGGTGTCATGCGGGTCAAATCGCTTATATTTGTCAAAAAATCATCTCTGTACCAAATTTCATGGTTTTATCACATCTGTCAATTTTTTTTTCATTAACCGCCCCTATCTTTATCTATTATCTCCCTATTGCGAACTACATACTTGCAGCCTGCATAATTTTACTTTAGATCATCTGCATACAAAAGTATGTCAGAGTGCTGTACAACAGTAGAGATATCATTGATAAAGACATTGAACAGCAACGGAGATAGATGAGCTCCTTGAGGTACTCCAGAAGTTACATGTATTTTCCTCGACAGAGCACCCTTCATTTTAACAAACTGACATCTATTTCCAAGATAACTGCGAAACCAAGCAAGCATATTTCCAAAAAGTCCCAAAGCTTGCAACTTTCCCAATAACACCTCATGATTTACTTTATCGAGCAACTCAGTTTGGAGTCGATTTGTCGTCTGGCTTCCAGTGACTATTAGACTCTGTTCATGTATCAGTAAGTTTGTAACTGTTCATCTGCCCTTGATAGACCCATGCTGATGTTCTACTAGCATTCCCTGAAGTTGGGGAACCAGCTAGTTTTGAGTAGGTATACAATAGAGTCGAACAATTTAGGGAATAAAGAGAATTTAGTGATGGCTCTATAATTCGAAACCTCTGACTTGTTTTCACTTTTGAATACTGGTGTAATATAGGACTGCTTCACTGCTTCCAAGCCTTAGGAAATCTACCGGTATTTGAAGATTGACGAGAAACCCTACACAAGACGTATGATAAAATTTACACTGAATATTCTTCAATCAAAAATCCTACCACAACATCATCAGGGCCTGCACCTAATTTATTACTTAATTTTATTAATGCATTAAAAACATCAGTCTCATTTATATCACAAACTCCTATGTTAACTTCATTCGGAATAACAAAATTATAACTATAACAGTTTCTATCACTATAAAGTATCAACAGAGGAAAAAAAATTGGCGAAAAAATTTAGAGTATCTGTCAAACTATTTGCTGTTTCACCATTATAGGACGTATTTACGGGCACTTTAAATGATTCATTCCTTTGATGTAGGTACAAATTTCCAGAAAGCTTTATTGTCATCTATTATTGAGTCTTCTACTGAGGAGATGTAATTGCTATAACAGTTATTTATTAACTCTTTACATGCTGCTCTCAGCTGAGCAAACACACTATAGTTTGCTTCTTTATTTGAAATTTTATATTTCTTATGGGCAATTTTCTTATTAAATATGATTCCCTAAAGTTCACTTGAGTTCCAACAGGGAAACTTAGGCTTAACCGATCTCAATTCAATGACAGACTTTATAATATCCCCAAAAACATTAACATTTAAATCCACATTTTCAGCTTTAAGTATCATTCAAATGAGCTCAGATAATCATTTATTGCCGTGTAGTTGGCCAATTTAAAGTTAAAATACCTACTCATAGTTGTTGTCAATGGTGTCAACCTGGAACACACCTATTTCTAGTATTAATGATAGGGCTGGGTGATACGAATCACAAGGCAAGATAGGCTCATTTGCCAGCTCCACAAAGGTCTCTGGTAAGTTACTGAAAATAATATCCAGATAATTATTACCTGCTTGAGCGTTTTGTATTCTATTTACCTGTGTGTGTAAGTTCAGAAAGGATGAATACTCTGATAAAGTTTTCGCTTGTTGGTATAAACTACCTACTGCCTGCGATCCATACTCGTCATTGATCCAGTTCACATTTGGTAAGTTGAAATCTTCCCCCTTGTAAATATTAGTACATTGGTGTTCTTCGATCATGGATTCCACACATACACAGTAGGTAAGTCTCATACAGTTCTACAGATGACTCCGGTGGTAAATAGACAGCTCCCAAAGTGTCGTAACCTTTCCTACCCTGATTACAACAAATATATGTTGTATATTCAATAATGTATGTTGCGTTAAAATGATCTAATAAGGTTCGAGCATCGAAGGACCAATAAAGTATGCTTGATTGATTGCACAAAGAGTCTTCAGAAAATATACGTGCTTTTATTAACTTTTTACAAAATTATTTTTAATTATTTAATAGTCTTTTCTTTTGTCTGGTTGGTTTCTAGCCACCAATCGTCCATGGATATCTTCTCTCTATTTTGTTTAAGGTAGTCCAGGTACCCCAGGTACTAATCACACCCTGTCATTTCAAGGTTGAGGTGCAACCACTAGGTATAGGTAAATCATGAGTTTTGATTGAACAATGTATTTGCAACTTGCTTAGACGCCATAGAGGACTCTATCGCAATCATAACACCCTCTCCAGTTATGACGTTTTTGCATAACTAGTATTTGAGTCATGTCATGAGACTCATAGGTAACACAACTAGTAGTGTTTTGGACTAGGTTATGAATTCAAAATACAACTAGGAGCCACCAGCTCACATTCCGTCAGATTAAAATCGATGGACAATATCTTTGAACTTACAACTTAGGCACCTAGTGTATCCTGGAAAAATCACAGACGACTTTAGGAAATCCATATTATTTAGGAACTTTGTTTCAGCAAAAACCTATGCACCCAGTACTATTGTATGATTTCTAATATATGTAGCAATTCGTATACTAATAGTTATGTACTTGTGGCAAAGGAAGCATAAATCGATCCCCTTCAAAAGTCTACAAGACATTATCAACGAGGACGTAGAGGAATCTTAAGGGAGAAGGAGTTATAGACATAAACCAATACGTAAACTGTTAATACTGGGACTAGGAATAAATAACACGACTCAGCATAATCATAGAATAAGCATATTTTGTATTTTTTTAATTTCATGGGAGATTTTTACATAAAATAGAACTAGTCTTTGGTCACCAGTAGGTGTCTCATAAAAATGAGTATTAAACTCACGAATCAGAAGTTTGTAAAGTCGGGATGATTAGGATTAATTGGAAAAAATAGTTTGATTTACTCTGGGGTTAGCGAATAGAAGAGGTGACTGTGAAGTTCAGGAAAACTGAAATTTTAGATTTATTTATTTGAAAATGCTATGGTTATTTTATGTACTACCATAGGTACTACTTGATAAAAGTTTATGTATGAAAACTTCACTCTATAGGTAATTATAATTGAAGCTATATAAGAAAATAAATACCATCAATAAAACCTCTCGCCATTTACCATCTAATTAATAAAAAGAGTATTTGAGCAGACTGCTACAAGTTCCACCAAGATCTTCCAGTCTCCTCGAGAGTCTAAAATTAAAAGACCCAGCTTGCACTAACTCTCATGCTATTGACCTTCAGAAATGTTCCCTACGCACTTTTGATCTATGAAAATCGCTTCACCCTTTTATGGAACAACTTATTGCACTGGGACACCTTCAGAAAAGTATTACCTTCTACTGTTGCTGCTACATAAGAAGTAGTACCTAAGTAGTTTTTTGATGTTATTAATCCGTCTGGTGATATACAGATCAGATCCATATTTTGTTGTGTGTTTTCATGAAGAAACTTCTATTCGGAGTATTTTAATTCCATAAATCTAGATTAGCTCTCACTGATTTTCGGGATGATATTCTCAATTCTTTCAAAACCTTTTTCATCTGATATGTTTTCCGAAATGTTGAAACCTGTATTATATAGGTAGTCATAAAAACTATGAGTAGGTACAAGGACCTAAATGATGCAAATACATAATATAGATATTCCTTTTCTTAAAAACAACCTAATGTACCTGTAAAAGTAATTCAAGTAAAACTAAGTATATTTATTGTATTGCTAATACATAAAAAGATTTCATCAGAAATCTGAGAAATCTTAAATTGCCGCACTATCTTTAACATCAGTAAATATGTACGAAAGAAAATCCGCAAAAGCCGACGCAAATTTGAAATGTACTTGAATAATATATTTTTAATTGAAAAATACAATGGATTCAAAATAAGCACATTATGTTATTTAATCTACTCGAAAGATCAAATAAAAACTTTCGTGATGATATTTAAATAATGGCATGACAACTGATTGTTCGAATTTTTATATTCGAATTTAAAATTATTAGTTCTTACTAATATGTTCAAATAAGAAACAACATGACAATGTAAAAATCCAGTTTATAATATAATATCCTCAACTAAGACTTAGATTTTTTTCTGCACGGCAATAATCCTATAGACCAAGTAATAACAGGTACAATAAAACTTGCTGTAAGCAAATGGTATACATATACATCCCTGTTTGTTACTGTTTTTATATATTCTGAAAAATTAAAATAGTTATTTAAATAAATGTTGAATAGATTTAATTTTGCTACTAACTCATCAGGAATCCAAACATCAAACTGGTAGCACCAGTGACCACCATATATAGCGAATAAGCTGACGCAAATTTATCTGGATATGCATGTGCCATCACCAGCGGTTGTGGGGTTTGAACAAAACATCTCGTATAACCCATACCAGTTAAAACTACCACTACGTAGATTTTGGAATGATCTAATAGCAAAGCTAGAACAAAATAGGTATATATTTTTTTTAATGTAGGTATTATCTATCTACTGAAGTTATATGTTCAAAGTCAAAATAATTTAAAGATTTTAGGAATTTCAAGCCGGGGTTTTGAAACGCGCAAAGTTTGCGCTACATCATTTCACGTATTTACTGCATTTTTCTACGGAAACTATAAGACCAGCCACACGAAGACGATCAAAAACTGTTTCTAAAAGTTTCAGATGTTCAGGGAAAGTACTCGTGGTGATAACAATATAATCGAGGTAAACCATAATATTGGGTTCAAGTTCTGGACCCAAGATGGTATCTACGATGCGTTGCCAAGTAGCAGGAGCATTGGACAAACCGAAAGGCGTCCTACAAAATTGAAATAAACTCCTTCCAGGAACAGTAAAAGCTGTGTATTCTCGTGAGTTTGTGGCTAAAGGTACTTGCCAGAAAGCAGACTTGATATCGATAGAGCTAACAAATCGGGTGTTACGCAGTTGGTCTAAAATAGTAGCAATATATGGAATAGGATAGACATCTTTCTTGGTGTGAAGGTATAACTGTCTAAAGTCGACACAGAATCGAAAAGAACCATCTTTTTTCCTAGCAAGACATACAGGGCTTGACCAGGGAATATTGGATCTTTCTATGACCCCCAATTTCAGCATTTCCTCTATTTCCTCGTCGATGAACTTCTGTTTATAGGGGGATACCGGATAATAACGTTGCTTTATAGGCCTCGTTCCAGGTTCCAAGATTATTTTATGCTCAGCGACCTTACAGCATCCCAAACCTGAACCCATTTTTGAAATTCGATCCGCAATCAATTTATCCAGGGATTCCCTTTCAGAAATTGACAAACGATCGATATTCTGGATGCTATAAACATCGACAGAGTCAACGAGCTCACTAAAACGCCAAACATCTTGACCCATGTCAGGTATTATTCCCATATGCTTCCAAAAGTCTATTCCCAGAATGATCTTATGAAAGAGTTCGGGGAGTACTATGATGTCAATAATTTCTGTTTTAGCCATCAATGTGACAGGCGTTTGGATGTAACCGATACTTTTACACATCTGACCATCAGCAACTGTGCAAGAATTAGATGCTTTGAATAATTTGAGTCCCAAACCTCTAACAATTTCATACCTAGCTAACCCTACTAAGGTCCTACTGGCACCAGAGTCAAGCAATCCAAGCATGGAGTATCCTAAAAGGTCCATTTGAAGATATGGTCGTTGGTTACCAGGAGCGTGAGAGATAATATAGTCTAGGATACATTTATAAGCGATATCAATAGAATCGGCCGTCCAAAGTAGTTGAGAGGAAATAGGACGACCTAGCGATTCCCTCGAGGACCGTTTCCCGAATGCGAATACTTAGTACATGTTCTCACGGTAACGTTGGGGGCACTACAACGAAACCAATGCGTCTTACGTGGATCTGGGCAATTCCTATTCAAATGTCCGGATTTTTGATAGTCCCAACAAACTAAATTTCTTCGGGCGTTCTGCTGCTGCATACTATTGACATCAAGCTCATCAATATTACCCCTTTGACATGGATTATCGGCGTGTGAAAAGTTATATGTAAGTACTTTAGTGGTTAATAATTTTCTGACTTTTCTCAATGATTCTGAATGATAAGAAGTGAATTAACAATGACTTTTAATGCCTAAAAACTTGAGTGATTTTTACTAGAAAAACTTTTTGACTTTATAATTAACTTTGGAACTTTATTGCATAAGTATTAATAACTCGAGTGTTTTGACTATGGAACATTATTGCATAACTTTAATTGCCTTCAGATATAATGACATTCTAATTTAATTGTGCAAAGAAAATATGAAGGGAATTTATAATGCACTTAACAATATACAATTTTGAGTAGGAATTATGAATTAAACAGTTGGGTTTATTAGCTAAGCTAGGAATCCGAGAATAGAATTTGTTCTGATTAAATAAACTATTAAGAAAATGGAATAGGAAATTTTGAAAAGAAACTTGAAGTTCATGACATAGAGTTGTCTTGAAATATTGCAAAGTTGTTAAAGGAAACTTATAACAGAATTGTTCTGATTAAATAAACTATTGAATGGAATAGGAAATTTTGAAAAGAAACTTGATGTTCATGAAATAGAATTGCCTTAAAATATTGGAAAGTTGTTAAAGGAAACTTATTGTTCATGAAATTAATTTTGAATTAGGGTTTTTATTTTTCAAGCAGAAATTATTGTAAGGTTTTATAAGAATAAGTTATACCTATATTAATAAGCAAATAGGTAATTATTTTGGGTTTTTTCATGAGCAGTCAGTAAAGGACTTAGAAATTTTAAAGAATTTATATAAATAGGTGAAGGGTAGTTTAATAGGAATGAATCGGAAATGTTGAAATGAGTTAACTTATAAGTTATTAGGAATAGTAGGAATAGGGCGTTTCTTTAGTTGTATAGATATTTCCCGGTCCGTATTAATGACATTTGAACGGATGTGAAGTAATCGAATTTAGAAAAATAGATGAGGCTGTCAGAATTGAAAGATATTTTGCTGATTTAAATTTCTGGTTTCATGTATAATAAAATATAATTTAGTAAACCTCAATAATTTGTTTCTCTCTTTTGCAAATAGACCCTTCCACAATTTTATAGGTAGCAGCTCCAAGAAAATAAACACCATCAATATACCGCTCGCCATTGACCATCTAACTAATTACATAGAGTACTTGGGGCGTTTTGCTACATATTATCTTCAATGATTTAGGAAAAAAAAAACGCAACCAACGGTTTTTGCTTTTGGCCCCACGTTAGGCGCCAAGAAATTTGTCACGCTTTTCACTGTTTATAAAAAGAAATTGAAATGTCAAATAAAAATAAAAAAAGAAAAAATAAAAAAAATAATAATCAAGTTATTGGGCCCAGGAGATTCTAGTGCGTGCCAAATTTATGCCGAGCTCATAATAAAAATTAATTATTATTAACCGGAGAGTGGGGCGGGTAGATATGGGCGCCACTAGCAAAATGCACAGAATGTGCTAGAATTCTCCAGGCTGTTGTCTGGTTCTCCTAGAACACTAATAAACAATAATTAAATGCAATAGTAAATTTGAAATAAGAAAAAAAAAAGTAAAAGAAAATCTATATTAATCTTCGCATATACCTACTTTCCAAGATTAAGGATAGAGAAAGGGTTGTGAGCACATAAAGCCAAATAAATATGTACTGAATTGACTTCTCTCAAATACAAGTTTTTACTTAACGGTACATAAGTACTCAAGTACCTAGGTTACTATAATATACCCCACGTGATCACGTAAGTTTACAAGGCTTGTAAACCATAAACCTACCAATAATTTATATGAAAAACTAGAAAAATAAATGTTTAATAATAATTATGCAGTACTGTCGAAGGCAATAAATAGGTGATTTATGAAAAAAACAATACTAAGGTTAAATTCATGAAGTTGGGATTAAGAAAAAGTAAATGAGAGAAAAACTTTTTTTTTTCTATAACTTAGTACACTTGGCCAAACATAAAACGGGTACAGGCAATACCGGTCTGGCAAGCGAACATCTTACATGCCATTTTAAATGTAATAGAATGAAATGCCTAGAAAAAGTATAAGGTTAAATAGAGAACGGAAACGATTTCCCCTGTTCCACCTCCAGCAATACCAGCGTTGCATGCTGGAGGTGGAATAGGAGAAGTCGTTTCCGTTCTCTATTAAATCTTGGACTTTTCCTATACATTATATTCTATCGCATTAAAATTGGTATGCAAGATACTGGCTTGCCAGATCTGCATATATTTTTTAAATTTGCCTAGTGTGAGTCAGGCTTATTAACTAAAAGTCTCTTTCGAAAAACTTCTAGACAGTTTTATCCACGTCAAAGCTGAATAAAAGTAAATGCAACATGTTTTTATGTTATGATTGGTTTAAATATGACACTGACTTGACTCTTTTTGTTATTGTGGAGGTGATAAAAAAGGTCGATTTACACAATACAACACAATAGGAAAATGCGAACCAGTTTTATGATTGAGGGTGACGTAACAAGTTCCACTAGAAGTACCAGCCAGGCAGAAGCCCTCCGACGCCCACTTATTATTATTATTTTTTTATTTTTTTTTATTTTTTTATTTATTTTTGACACTTCAATTTCTTTTTAAAAACAGTAAAAAGCGTGACAGTTTACTAGTAATTTATATAAGAACGAAATCACTGTACATTATCGAGTAGCCCTTATTGTTGTTTTTTTTTTTTGATAACCCATCGTGTCTACAATTAACTTACCTATTCGTAAAATGGCACTTAAGCCAGACGCCACGAACACCATCATTAGACTGTTGACTTGAAAAAAAGCTGATATCACAGATAAAGTAATTCTCGCTGCTAAATCGGCTGCAAAAAAGACGCTGATCATTAGAGCTACTTCGGAACTACCAAATCCAAATTCCGTCATCAAGGCTGGAAGTATGGGAAAGAAAGCCACGTCGGCAAGGAAACTCAAAGATAAACCTGTGGCTATGTTTAAGTATTTTGGATCTGCTAGTAACTGTAGATCCATAGAATGAATCAGAGATTGCCTAGAAGAAAATATTGTTTGAACAACAAAAAAATTTTGAACATAGACACACCAGAATGAATCTTCTTTGCGTTTTATTTCGCAGGACGCAACTCCTTTTTTCTCATCAATAACGGAACTCATTCTATGTATAACAGTTTCATTACTATTTTCCAACGAATCTTTATTTATTACAAGAGGCTCTAGCGCAAAATGATCTTGTTCTTCGTCAATTGGAATAGTAACAACTTAAATGGAAAAATTATTTATATATACAATCTCAAAACTAATGGCTTTGTCACCATGTCCATTCTCATCTTCAATTTTAACCTTCTCCAAGTCTTTTACAGGATACAGTGCCATGGAAGCAGGAAAACAAAAGGCGCTCAATCCAGCAAGCAACAATAAAGTACCACGACATCCATATAGGTCTAAAGTCCAATAAATAATGTGAGGAGCTGATATGTAACCAATTACCATTATAGTGCTAGAGAGGCTTGTCATGAGAGCCATTTTCTTGTCAAAATAGGCGTTTAGTGTAGATATTGATGCAGGAAGAAGTAGACCAGAACCGATACCTAATTATAATCAAGTCAATGATTTGTCCTAAAATTCATAGGCAAATAAATTTACCTTGAAATAAACTATAAGTGAGTATCACTTGGCTTAACGATGAAGCATAAACTGTAGCTATTGCTCCACCAAAATTAAGTGTTGATCCTAATAATGCAACGACTCTGAAAGAATATTTGTTGAGCAAAACATTGGCTACAATTCCTAAAAAAAAGGGTTAATTCATTTAAATTTGCTTTATTGAGAACCTTATAATTTATTTTGAATTTTGGTACTTACCAACAAAAAAATATATGCCATTATATGTGTTGTATACGAGAGTGATGCCACTGGAATCATCTTCAATATTTTCGAGAAATTTTCGAAAAACAATCCCAAATACTCCCATGGGTACAGTCGTGGCGATCTATAATGAATACTAAATTAACAGCTACATAAATTAAAGCTGGAAATCTACGTAACTACTTCACCCAATATAATTTAATATATTTTGGCTTGGTTAACTGGAACAGCAGGGTGATTGGGTCATATGCCCGTTTTTGGCTTATTATTGAAATTTGAATTTCCCGCGCATCAAAATCCCATATACCCTGCATGTATTAGAAGGAATACGGCCGGATTTGTTGAATGAGAAAAATTCGAAATTTGTTACCTTTACAAAGTGAATCATTACAAGTAAGAGAAGTGTGGATTTTATTCAATGATTAAAGTGAATAATTTTGCATTGAGCATGTTTAACCGTAAGAAAATAGTGTTGGCAAGGTAGGCCGGGTTTGTTTTGAGGTTAGAATTTCAATTAAGAGAAATACAGTTAGGATTCCAGTTGCCCCGGTAAAAGTACCTATAGAGGCAACTGGAACGTGTATGATGTGGGCAACTGGAAAATATGTCCCAGTTACCTGAAATTAACATAGTATTGTACATTCTGGTTAATTGATCTAGGAAGGTTTGATTCAATATGGCAGGGCAAGGGGCAAGCTGTTATTGATTAGAATCTTATCACCATCATCTCTGTTGGGAAATCAAATCAATAAATAATCTGAGGTTATGATAGTTGTTGTTGTTTACTTTTTTCGATTTTTCAGTTTTATAATACATCTGTCATTGAACAGCTGTCTTGTCTAGGCGTTTTTTTTAGACCTGTTCTACTTTTTGATATAGGTTCTATAGGCAATTTTCAATATTCACCGGTTATCTGGTATTTTTGGGATGAAACTTAACACGCCCTTTTCTATAATTTTCATCAATGTCAAAATTAGAAGTTTGACAAATGGAAGCCTTCTTTCCAAATCTAAAAGGAAGAATCTGCCCTTTTGATTTGAGACCTCATGCTGTGAGTCCGGTTTTGGCTCTAATAATTTTTGGGCAAGACTTTTTGGAACTTTGTGCCAGGGAAACTCCAATTAGACTAATTTCTTGTTGATCATTGTCTAAAGTTGTCCCTTGGTCATTTTGGATTATGTTTCGGATCGTTCCGAGCAGCTTTTGGAAGTTTAAGACTTCACATTTGGTCTAGAGCATCCCTCAGTTAGAGGGTCCTAGGCTGCAATTAGAAGGTCCTAGGCAGTATTTAGAAGATCCTAGGCTGTACCTAGAGAGATTCTAGGCTGGATCTAGATTGCTCTTAGTTGGGGCTGTGGTAGCTTCCCTTCAGCAACCCTTTTGGTTTCACTCTGATAGAACCACGTTGAGTTCTACGTTAAACAGATACAACGTGGATAGGACTTCCATAGGACTCACTCACCATATAATAGTAGGAATACAAACTTAGAGCTGCAGAACTGCTAACTGGTTCTGTCTGGATCTACAGTGAGACCAAACATGTAGATAACCTCACTTTAGGAACTTCTGAGTTTACACATACGTTTGAAGATAACTAACACTTGTATACATGTATACATGTATACATGTAAGTTGCACTTTTTACTATTTAGGCAGATCTTATATAAATCACCTGACACTGAATTACGACAGTACGTGCCTTTTAAATGAAATTCTAGAATTTTACCCTGAGCTTGCCCTAACAATAATTTTCACCTTTCTGGTGTTAAATTTTCCACTTTGTTTCTTGTAATTATCATTTGCCAAACACTTTTTATTATTAATTCAGGTTATTGTGCATACCCACTACTTGTCATGCATTTAACCAGGAACAGTTTCACAAATTGTTGTGTTGTTAACTGTGGCAATAATTATGCCAACACAAGTTAGTCTGGGAGACGACCGCACCGGAAATATATTTTAACAAATTGAAAAAAACGTAACACTACCCCCATCGAGTTATGCCTTAGTAGGGTATCAGAATAAAGGTCTCGATGTCTTCTATCTAAAACGTCGATCCTGCCTCGTGAGAACTTGCCGGAAAAAGGTGCCAGGGCAGCTTATTGGGGCAAGGGCCCGCAGTCTCAGCTTTGACACCTATCAAGTTTTGCACCATAGATTTTGCACTGAATGATGTGTCAAATTAAAGGTGTCAATAAGTTGATTTAAGGCCTGTTCGCACAGAAATCACAAACCAGTCAGAGTGAATTTCATTGGTTGGAAACAGTCAGGAAAATAGTTTCTACCAATGAAATTCACTCCTTCTGGTTTGGGATTTCTGTGCGAAGAGACCTTAAATTAACTTCGACACCTTTAATTTGACACGTTATTCAGGGCAAAACTTGATAGGTGTCACAGTTGAGACCGCGGGCCCTTGCCCCAATAAGCTGCCTTGCCACCTTTTGCCGGCCAGTTTTCATGAGGCAGGAACGACTTTTTAGATAGAGGACATCGAGACCTTTAATCCGATACTCACTTAGGGCATAACTTGATGGGGGTAGTGTTACGTTTTTTTCAATTTGTTAGTGATTTGTTGGAAGATATTGCCGGCAGCATTTGCTCTCAGGCAGGAATACCAGTGATACCGGTTAATAGATGCACATAATACTATATATTGATAATAGTGTCGACACATAACTCGATCGGGGTAGGAAAAATGCGGTCGTCTCCCTAAGTGGAAATGTTCACTTCTACAGTTTTCCTAGTCGGCACCATGATCAGGAATGACGTAAAAAATGGATTAAAACTGTCGGAAAAAAAAATGTAAGTTCCTTACTTGCTTCTATCAACGTTAACCTTCAGACCTATTCATAGGAACTACACACTGAGTTTTTATATTGATTTGGTTACTCTACTCTTTATCGTTTTAAGATCCAATTCAAAAAGTAGTAAAATGTGGGAGCCAGAAAGACAGTCGAGGATTTGTAGCGTCCATTTTATTGTTATACCTACCTGCAGCTCAACAGCATAAAAAGAGCTGTTTATGGAGGTTTGGCTCATAACATGCCCTTTCAAAATGGATGGCCGTTTCCACCAATAAAGCTCTAAGCTGAGAATATCTAAGCGTCCCTTAAAATGTAAACACCGCTCAATTAAATTTGCATTCCACCACCGCCTTTCTGGTGAATCTTAACTAAGTGTTGTTTAGCTTTGGCAACCTTGCTTTTGTTCGCCATCATAACCTTAAACTCAGCTTTGCGTAGTGGTTTGATGGAAGTTCAGAAAATAAATAATGTTTTGAAATTATTGACAATAGATTCGTGGTTTAAATAAATAAAAATAAAAAGGTCAATTTTAATTTGTGATTTACAATACCTCGCGACAACACGTCCGTTCAACAGAAAAAACAAAAATTTGGCGAAAATTAGCCAATGAGTTTAACACAATCACTCCAAATTCACCTATCATTAGGAAATTCTAAGGACGCTTCAATTTGTTCTAGAAGTTGCAACACAGTGGGTTTTGTCAATCTGAATCTTCAAAAAACGTTAGATTGTCCATCTGGGGAAATCACATCTTCAAACAAATCCACCAAATCATCTTATATCCATTTTTCAAACAACAATTTTCTCAAACACAACGCAAACTTCACCAGAAACTAGAAAATTGAGAAAATTTTATTTCAATTCAATTTTTGCTACTTTCTGTGAAGCATATTTAACGTTTGCTTATGTCAACAAAAGCATGATGCAAATTACTTGCGCATATCATCGTCACTCTGTTAAGGGAGGAATAAGCCTAGAAATTCCTGGGCTTAGTTAAGCTTATCTTAATGAGACTAGGTTAGACTGGTGGAAAAGAAATTATAATATAAGCGGCACTTAACGTTAAGTAAACTTAAATTTTCGTTGGTGGAAACGGCCATAAGTCCCCTCCAACTTTTCGTTCAACTACTTGCAATACATACATGTTCAGCTTTCACTAGAGCCACCCTTTTTTTGTATGCAGCTTCGTGGTAATTAAATTTTATATTTTGGAAACCAAAATATATTTCCAGCTCCATTTTTCGAAATTAGGCAATCTCAATAACGTGATTTTATAATGGCCGTTCAGGTCAAATATTGCGGTGACAAGCCGGTGACGTTCATAAGGAGAGCATTTCTGTTCTGGCCCTTGTTGCTTTCGAAGTGAATTTTATGTGTTTCTACGTATTTTTTATTGGTTTTGGTCATAGGTATTGTGGTTTTCATAGTGAATTTTATAGTGTTTAGTATTTCTACGTATTTTTCAGTGTTCTGGCCCTTATTGTTTTCCAAGTGAATTTTATAGTGTTTATAGTGTTTCTACGTATTTTTTAATTTAATAATAAATTCTGAGATGGAGAGTGAATATCTTAAGGTATAAGCCGATGATTTAAAATAGCAGGAACTGAATAAAATTTCACATTATTCCTGTTACCTCGACTTCCACATCCAATTATGATGCAAATTGCTGGCATTTTAATAAACACAATACCTACCTAAACACACAAAAAACACAAAATCCGATAATTCAAATCCTGGACGTTTGTCACAGTTTGTGACAGAATCAATGACATACAGAATAAACAACACAGTTTGACCCAATATAGGTCGCCATACACACACGTTATTTTGCGCGGTTTATCGTGGCGTGTTGGGATGTAGCGGTTTGCACGCGCGAAAGAACGGCGTGGCAAAATAAGCGTCATGTTCCATACACTTGACAAAGTATCCAAATGATTTAGCACGTGATTACGCGCGGCATATCAGTTGGAAAGGAAAAACCGTATGTGTATGGGTAAAAAGTGTCATTTATCGTGTCGTTTGGAAGTGCATGTTGTCATGTACTAATTTTCAACGTGATAGGTCGCTACGCGGCGTTTATGTCTCCGCCGTACTAGCCTCAAAACCGTGACGTGGAAT